AGGTTAAGGGAGTACTGCTTTTGTAGAGGACCTGAGTGCAGCTTGAGCACTACATCAGGTGGATTACCCAATGCTCCCAAACTATGCAGGTACCTTCACTCATGTGCACACACACACACACACACACACACACACACACACACACGGTTGTAGCTTAAAAATTCTACTGAATTACATAGCAGAATAATTTCTCAAATTAAAGAGGAAAAAATAGGATATCATGGAACAATATTTCAAGCCCTAATAGCATCCTCCAGCCAAGACCACTCTCCCTATGATGATATTTCTATGGTGGACAGAGACATAAATGCATTTAAAGACAAGTGAAAACTAAAGCAACTAATGAACCCTAAGTGAGCAATGCAGACAAAACTTAGAGGAATTGCTCATACAGAGAAGGTGACAAGGCAGTGTGAATCACAAGAACAGAGAAAAGAATAAATCCTATGAGAGGAACATTCTATGAAAGACTATATGAGCAGAGACAAACTAGGAAAGGATCTTATGCCCACCTCAATAAACCAGCAAACAAGTACACTGGTTAGGGATAAATGAAAGAACAAACAAAACAGAAAGTAACCTACAAAATTATAAGAACCAGCAAACACCTCTCAGTAGTAAATCTAAACTTTATTATCTTAACAGTCAGGTTAAAAAATACAGAGTAGATGATTAACTAAAAAACAAGATATAACTTTGTTGTCTGTATGAAGCACATCTTGGAACTGGAGAGGTGGTTAGGTGGTTAAGAGTGCTTAATGCTCTTTCAGAGGACCTGGGTTCGATTTCCAGCACCCACATGGCAGCTAACAACTGTCAGTAAATCCAATTTCAGGGGATCTGACACCCTCTACTGACTTCTTTCAGCATTGCATGACACAGGTGTACTTAAACACATGCAGGCAATACGCTCACACAGATAAAAAAATAAATAAAATATATTAAATAAGAAGCACATCTTATTGGTAAAGGCACAAGACCCAGGCTTAAAATAAATGGGTAAGGTTCAACAGAACAATTAAATTAAGCAAATATAGATAGAATTTTTGTAATTATGTGTTATATTGTAGACTTCTAAAAAAAAGTAGCAGAAGACATGAAGAGGATGTAGGGGTTACTACATATTGCTAGAGGGAGAAATGCTTCAGGTACACTTAACAACTGTAAAGGCACATATGGACATAACATTGGGGCATCCAATATTATGTAAGGAACATGACTGGATGTAGACATACAGGCAAGTCTAGATATAGGAATAATGGGTGAAATAAATATCTCAATACTGTAGAAAATCATTCATCAAGCAAGAAAATCAACAAAGAAACTTCAGACTTAAACTGCAGCATTAATCCAATGAATTTAGCAGTCATCTACAGAGTATTCTGTGCAGCATCTCTCAGTATCGAGACTCTGGTTTTCTTTGCTCAGCGGTGAAACTTGCTTCAGGGAGGGATGGGATTGGTAACAGATTAAGGACTCTGGTCTGAGAAAATCATTCATCAAGCAAGAAAATCAACAAAGAAACTTCAGACTTAAACTGCAGCATTAATCCAATGAATTTAGCAGTCATCTACAGAGTATTCTGTGCAGCATCTCTCAGTATCGAGACTCTGGTTTTCTTTGCTCAGCGGTGAAACTTGCTTCAGGGAGGGATGGGATTGGTAACAGATTAAGGACTCTGGTCTGGGACTTGTGCTTTCTTTCACAACAAGACATTTTTTACAAAATTCAGAGGGTTTTTATACATTACAAGGAACTGGCAATCATGTGGGGTTTGACAATTACATACAAAGATTTAGGGCACAGTGAAACAGGACATATGGCCTTTTAGTTGGCCCCAGCAGGATGCTTGAACTATTTATTACTCAAGGTTACCAATGCCTATCTGGTAATTTATTTACCACACTCTTTTCTTTCTTAGGGCTAAAAGCATGGTAAACTTTTAGCTTTTGGCTCATGAGTAAACTTTAACGTGGCCTAATCTCTTAGCTAATGATAGCTGAGTTATTTGTTCAGGACAGGGAGATGAGCTAAGGGTTGTTGACCAGACACTTTCCCACAGAACAAGGACCCTGCACTTTTGACCTGGCCACTATTCTCCTGCCAGTCTCACAGTGTTCTTCAAGACAAGGATCATCAGAGTTACTGTTTTCAGCACACCTCCCTGTGGCAGAGAACGAAGCCTGGACTATAAACTTTTACACTCATCTCACCCTAGGTTGTTGCATCCTTGTTTCTCATATTATACCCTCTTCTGCAATGGTCCCTGAGCTGTGGGTAAGTGAGGTTTAACATAGGAGTCCTATCCAGGAACACACAGTTCACAGTCTCATTGTCTAAAACTTCACCAAGTGTGACCTTCTGTGTTTCATCTTTCGAGAATTTTCTATTAAGTTCTTTGCCCAGATTTTAATTTTGGTTTTGTATAT